TTTCCCCCTGAAGGCTCAAACTCTTAAATGAAAACATTCACTATTTTCACCTGCTTACTCTCAAACCAGTCTCTGAGACAGAGCTGACAGTGTATCAGATTTTTCTCTCTCACTACCCACTGCCATCTGGCTCCTTCTGCCATCCATGGACACTCCTTGGCTGTTACAGGGAGGGGCTGTGGTTCAGTGGTAGAGCATAAGTTTGGCATGCAGAAGGTCCCAGGTTCAATCCCCGGTACCTCCAGTTAAAAGGACCAGGCAATAGGTGGTGAGAAAGACCACTGCCTGAGATACTGGAGAGCCGCTGCCAGTCTGAGCAGACAGTACTGACCTCGATAGGTCAGGGGGCTGATTCAGTATAAGACAGATTTATGCGTTCAAGATTCTAGGATGCTAAGAAACTGACCTGCTCTTCACACACATCAAACAGGAATACAGGGGATTGGTGACTGACAGAAGGGGGCAGGACTTTTGCTCATCTGTCAGAGGGGGACACTAGGTGAGCAATATTGTGGGGGCTTTCAGGGCCCATAGACCTGGAAAAACCATGCCATTTGTTTTCATGTGATGCTTGGCTTGGCTATGACATGCGGGGGCAAAGGAAATTTTTGTCTAGGGTTCTATGATGGCTCTCTCATCTGTCTAACTCAACTGTGTGCTCTTCTTATCTCTTCCCATTTTGTGGCTGCCACCTTTCCCAACTTCTGTCCAGATATAACCTGCCTTTCTTTTTTCTCTAACCCCATTTCCACTTTGGACAAACATGCTTCTTCAGAAAATAATGCTTTCTCTGCAAATATTTTATCTGCAAAAGCTGTTTTTGAACACTAATATGGAAATGATTAGATGCCATAAATAGAATTATGGGTAAGGGTCCCAGTGGATCATGCAACATTCTACCTATATTTCAGAACTATTTCTACTTCTTTTTTAACCACTATATATTGCTGTAAGAGCCTGGTCTAAGCTGTAAGGGGGAAAAGCTAATGAAAGGAAGTTTTATCAAGACCCCTTGATATTATTCAAGAGATACGAGTATTGAAAGTTAAGTTCTAAACTACTTAAACACTGAAAGGCTTTTGAGAAGTTTATACACAAGTCCAGTTAATTCTGTAAAGCACCAAAGTGCCAAAAGATTGAGCAAGGATGAATGTTAATCCACTTTCATAAAATCAAAGGTTCATTTTTTTACTGTAAAGAAATAATTTGAATAAAATTTGACCCTTTCTTCAATAGTCTGTGGGTCAAATTGAACCCACCATTAAAATTCTCTAATATCTTTCTTGTATTAGCATTTCAAACCTCAATTTAAATATTCACAGAGCTCTTTTTAATAAACTTAACAAAATTCAGGTAATTTCCTTCAACTTTCTTGATTGAAGGAAGGCAGTGGGTAGAGATATAAAAAAGATGTACAGCTACGAGCAAAACCTGAAATCAATTATATATAAAAATAACATAACACATGGAATGAAATTAATCAAAAGGAAAAAATTTTCTACTATATGATTCTCTGGTCTGCTACCTGCAGGCAAGGAACCTAAATGAAAAAAAAATCAACATTCTTCTCTCAGATAAGGGAAAATTAATAAAAATGTTTCCTTCCTACAGATCCCCTGATGCAACTCATGTTAAAAGTGAGTGGCTGCAGGAAGAACTTGCTCGTTTTAAATAGCTCCCATTTTTCTTGGCTGCAGAAAAATAGTTTTGCCTTGCTGTTAAGCCCAAATACACTTAGTTTGTTGAATGTGGAGTACCCCAAAAAGCTCTTCCACTTCTTGTTGAAGTGCTGTAAATCAACCTGTAAAGTTTTCATCTCAACCCAATTCAGAATGGACACAAGAAAAATAATTTAATTTCAAAATCACCCGGCAACAAATAATTCTTTTTAACATTTAGATTCCCTTGGGCTCCCAAATTATGCTAATTGGGCACACAGTGGGGCCTCCTCATCAAAATGCCTGTTGTTGGCCCTCTAGTGGCACCACTATCAAACTCTAAATATTGCTACAAGACCCTGCCATGCCACCTTCATTGCTACGACTAGGTATAAGTCAGTACTAGTCAGAGAAAGGGAAGGGAGCAATAGTGAGTGCCCATATAGGTAGGGGGCAAAATGACCTTACTTTGAATCATTTCCACACTCCAAAGGGCTCCACTTAGAGCAGGGTTGTCAAACTCCTTTGTTGTGAGGGCCGGATCTGACATTAGTGAGACCGTGTTGGGCCGGGCCATGTGTGTCATAAAATATAATGCCAGGTAGTGGAGATATAAACTTTATAAAGGACACAGGCAAACACAATAAACTTTAAATAAAACCTGCTTAAAACACTAGCACTCTTGCAGTATTTTGTCTGTTTAACAGCCTCCGATAACTGACACCTCTTACTCTGAATTATTGCATCAAAATGTCTATGCTGTGGCAATCTTGGGTATGCTGTTCAGGTGTGTATCTCATGGTCAGTGTTCTGAGCCTAGGCCCCAGGGAAAAACATGAAATGGCTGGGCATTGTGAGCTTTTGTACATAAGTTGCTTCACATGCTGGTCAAGAACATAAGAAGGCATCCTGACACAGACTGAGGGCTGTTCGTTTGTCTACAAAACTATAGTCTTCCCCATAGAAATAACTACAACTGTGCTGAACACACATTCTCAGCCTAATCCACCTCACTGGCTTGTTGTTATTCCTCCTCTAAAATAGTTCACATTGCTTTCTTACTGACAAAGACTGGATCATGAGGGCATGAACACAGTGAAAAGGGGGAGGGAACCCAGTTGCACCCAGGAGAGCCCTGGCATAAGGAGCCCAACAAAACGCACACACAGCATAAGGAGCCTAACAATACACACACACTGTAGCAAGGGACACAAAGGCTCATACCTTGAACAAAACTTTGTTGGTCTTAAAGGTGCCTGGGATTTCTGCTGTGCAATTGAGGCAGCCCAGCAAAGCAAGTTCTCCCTCATTCCCTTCCTCCACTCCCTGCCTCCCTTCAGGGAGGAGCCTCAGCCAGTGGAAGGAAAGAAAGGCTTTCTTTTTTCTCCTGTATACGATTGAGGCAGTCTGGCCAGGAAACAAGCTCTGGCTGGTTATATATTTATTTATTTATTCAACTTATATCCTGCCCCCCCTGCCAAGGCAGGCTCAGGGCGGCTTACATAGAAGTGCATATATCAATACAATTAAAGTCATTCATAAAAACGACCATAAACCATAAATAAATCAATTGTCCTCAAGTGCTGGAACAATACTCAGATAAATTGTGAGAGTAGAAATTTCTAGAATAAACAGTACTCCATAGGTGACAATTATGATGGTATTCCTGCACAAGCGTAGTTGATCTACTTATTTATGCAGCGAGGGCAGGCTGAAGGTAGTAAGGTCAGGGCACAGGGTCACTCCTCAGGTGTTTTTTGCGGCTCCTAAATGAAGGCCTGGTGGAAGAGCTCCATCTTGCAGGCCCTGTGGAACTGTAAGGGGTCCTGCATGGCCCTGATCTCTTCTGGGAGCTCATTCCACCAGTACAGAGCCACTATTGAGAAGGCCCCGGCCCTGGTTATCACCAGCCTGACATCTTTGGGGCCTGGGAGGGCCAGCTGGTTCTGGGCCCCTGAACGCAGTGCTCTCTGGGGAACATATGGGGAAAGGCAGTCCTTTAGGTATGCTGTACCCTGACCATAAAGGGCTTTAAAGGTGGGAGGAAGAGGGGGAGGAGCCTCAGCCAGTGTTTTATCAGACTCGATCACACAGGAGAGGTTTGCCTATCTGGTAAAGTAAGCTGTGAAGTAGCAGCAGCAGCAGAACTAGAAAAAGAAGCAGGAAACAGCCAAGGCCTTGTGGCCTGGATTGCAGCCCTCCAAGGGCCTGATCTGCCCCCCGGGCTGCATGTTTGACACCCCTGACTTAGAGAGTTCAAAATACAAAAATCCCATTTTGACCCCCCCCCCCCGAGTAGTTCCTTTACTTACAGGGACAACTTTCAATAATGATTCCAGAATATCTCAGAATGGACAAAGCTTTCAGTTCATTATATTTGTAGTATAGATGAGCTGGATGGGTATAGTTCTGATCAGATGGCTTTCAAATAAGCATGAAAGGACTTGGATAGGCTTTTGGATAAACCTATAGAGCTTAGAATTCTAAATATATTTCATGCTAGTATTATTTTGCTGCAGTAAATAAACTTACAAAAAACTTACAAAAACTTATATACTTTGAAGTTTCACAGAACTGTTGCAGTATGTATATTAGTACTGGAGGTTCTGATAATGGGTTACAAAGAGGTACTAGCTGTATAACTTCACCATTCCGTAGTAATTTTAGTTACTTTGGTAAATGCTTATTACAAATTCACCTAAAGAGATCCAACTGCAGACAAATTTGGGGTTTCTGCATACTCAGTAAATTGGAAATATTTAAAAGGAAGACTGTCCTCCATAGTTTGCTTAGGAGTGTCCATTCCATTCCCTTTTGAATGTTGGCAGCCGTTGAGAGTCAGTTAAAAAAAGAAAAAGCAAATGTTATGTTGCCCATTTTTTGGCTGGAGAGGAAATTGGCCTGCTGAAACACTTAAGAACTTAAAATATCCTGGCGGGGAAGATTTGGATGGGGAAGGGGCTGTCCCAATTGTTTATCCCCATTCCATGAATCCTCATGGGTCCCCAGCTTACTGCTTATATGTACTAATATGAATAATAATATTTAGTCTGCAGTGTAGCATGTTGTAGTGGAATCCTCTTTCACTGAAAGTCAGCAAAAGGCCTGCAATTTATGCTTAAATGGAGTGAGTTTTGTCACTGATCTTGTTCTACAGTTATTGAAGTATAGCTTAAAAACAGTGAGTACTTCTTTGCAAAATTAAGTATCATTTTAGAGACCTAACTTTTCCTGTCAAACAAAAGAGTCTTTTCTTTTTAGGAAGATTATCAGACCCTTTGGTATACAGTTTCCCCAGCCCACATTTTTATATGTTATCATATAGATATTATTTTGGTACAGTATTGTTGGTTCTCTTAAAGGCCCTCTTGAGGATGCTGTTGAGGATGAAGAGGAAGAGTGTCTATCTGAAGAAAATGACATTATCTCCAAAGAAGATTTTCCTCTTGAGGGAACCTTTTCTGCAGAGTTTGAACCTGGGAATCTGAGTTGTGAAGAAGTGGAATACTTTTGTAATAAAGGTAATACCTTGTGTAATTCAAAACCTGCTTTTAATGCCCACTTGTAATGCAGTGTTTTCAGGAGCTGAATGTGTGATGTGTGAATCTTTCTTTTTATAGGTTGTGAATTTAGGCTTAAAGAGGAGTTACCAGTATCTGCTTTTATTTCGATTTGGCTCCAGAGCATTCAGTTCTAACCATTAAAAACTGATTTGAAGTATAGAGAAATATTATTTCATTCAGAAATTGAGCTCACAAGAAGCATCTGTGGGCAGTCTCTCATTTGGCCCTAGTCATTTCACATAAAAATCGTCTGTCTGAAATCCTGATTCTTACCTTATGTTTGTGAATATCTGCAAGGAAAATTCAGTATGCAAGTTCTTATCCAAAAGGAGGTAAATGTACTGTTCTGTTAATGGAACAGGAATGCACAGTAATCCCCACTGCACATGTGCTAGCCAGGGTTTTTCAGAAAGGAAATAGAATGATGTGAGCTTGGACCCGCCCACAGCACAGTGGGGTTTTTTTTTGGCATATGTATCATTTTTAGAAAGAGACAAAAAGTAATGAAGAGCTTTATTTGTTTCTGTTCTCCTGAAAAGGCGCATGTGCGTATGGTTATTTGTGTATGCAGTAGATGAACGTCTACTGCCGTTATGGAAAACTCCTTATTAGCCACTCATCATAAAAGAGTTTATTTCATCTCCACAAGGCTTGGGACTCATGATGTCAAAAGGAAAGAAAGAAAGTTCCACAGTTGCAGGGAAGCAACCAAGGATGCCTGTGAGCCAAAGTCTACACCAAAGTCATTGTGCCTAGAATTGTGTGACTCAGTTTAGGATTGCAATGGTAGTGTTGAGGATGTGAGAGTCAAGCCATTTAGGGCTGGAGAATTTGTTAATGTGTTCCCAGAGGGGAAATTGATAAAGGCTCATGAATGTCACTGAGCCAAAGTCAAGCACTGATGACTTTTGCATTTATTTTAATGTCAGAACTAAACATGTTTATTTTCACTGAAATCAATGGGACTTACAGGTACTTTACTTTTCTGGATTATGTCCCTAATTAGGTTTCCAGTCAAGGATTTTTATAACTTTTGTATGCACATCCAGTACCAACTAACTTCAGGCCTGAGAAATAACAATTTGTAATATGTAATTTGAATGTGATGGTGCAAGACTGGTAGTAGAAGCAGCAGGGTCATGAATTATAATTCTTTTCTAAAAGCAAGAAGTTGTAGTTCTTTATTAGAACACCTGAGTAATCCCATAGAATATTTCCAGTAGTATTCCTTCATTGCTATGTTTTTTACTTGTAAGGACTGTATATTACAAAATTGTAATACATTACTTCGTGGCAATGTTCCCTCTAAGCTGTGGAGTCTTGTGAGCAAAAATGCTACTTCGTGAGCAACTGGCATCAAAGTTGTGAGCGAGCGGTTTGGCTGCTGCATAAATTAGGTTATTCTGGAGCCACCCTTCCTGAGCGAAGAGAAAAATGTGTGAGCCAGAGGCTAAAAAACTGTGAGCTAGCTCACACTAACTCAGCTTAGAGGGAACACTGCTTCGTGGTGTGGGAATTTATTTTATTTATTTATTATTATATTTCTATCCCACCCTCCCCGCGAATGGGCTCAGGGCGGATCACAAACAGGGCAACGTGTCAATATAAAACATTAAAAACAGAATAAAACATTCTTAACAATAATAAAGTGCTCAGTGATGTTACCCAGTTAGTCGTATCAAGATGGTTACCTATAGATATTGCCCTATAGATGTTACGCTTCAGCAGTACCTATCCGTCGCAGTATTGTGGCTAGATCTTTATAATAGGCCATCCCAATTGTCCCATTGTTACCACAGGACAATTGGTGGTGGTGGTAATGGCGGCTCCTAAATGAACGCCTGGTGGAAGAGCTCCGTCTTGCAGGCTCGTCTTGTGGAACTGTGAGAATGGGGTCTATTGTATATTGTAGCTTTTAAGGAATAGCTGCGAGTATAGAAAGAGAGAGATGGGCTTGGATCTGTGGTTCTGTAGACTTGAAGATTGTCTTCAGTTTTCCATCTACTAAGCCAGTATAGTAGGAACCTGCCTCGCAGGATTGTTACAAGGGCAATAAATATTGTAAAGTGATATGCAGCTTATTTGACCCATATTTAATAACTGCAGTAATGAGAAACTCTGAATATAGCTATTATTAGATAAATTGCATTATATGAATGGAGCATTGGAATGGAACCATGGTGGCTAGGTTCGGGCTCTTATTGGAGGTTTCCCTGAAGTTGTCCTGCCCTGTGTGTGTGTGTGGGGGTCTGTCTGGAAAACTGGACTCAAAAACGTCATGTCAATTTTGACTGGACTGATGTTTGCAAAATGGCTATTTTTTTGGGGAAGGGGGAGGCAAAATCTTAAACTGTAAAAATACAGTAATGAATACAATGTTGAAATCTGAAGTCCAAGTCTTAACAATTTCAGCTTCTGTATGGAATAGTGGTTAGGATCTGGAATCTCACTTTGTCTGGATACCTTGGGCCGGTCACTGGATACCTTGGGCCGGTCACTCTTTCTCATCTTAACCTACCTAACTGAGTTATTGTTATGAGGATAAAATCGAGGGGGTAGAAGGATGCTGCAAGCTGCATTGGGTCCTTATTGGGAAGAAAAGCAGAGCATAAATGTCTAAAGAAATAATGTTTCAGAAGGTAGCCATGTTAGACTGCAATAGAACAGTTGATTTGAGTCCAGTAGCATCTTAGAGACCAACAAGATTTTTGGGATATGAACTTTTGAGAGTCAAAACTCCCTTTGTCTGTATCTGATGAAGGGAGCTTTGACTCTTGAAAGCTCGTACCCCAAAGATCATGTTGGTTTCTAAGGTGCTCCTGGACTCGATATCTAAATAAATAACTACATTCTTGAAAACCATCCCATATCTCCTTACTAAGCAGATAATCAGAAAAGATTGCTTTATTGCTCTATCCTCTGCATTTCTTTTAGGTCAGTGGAGAGCAAAAAGCTTTTTTATTTGTTGAACTGTCTGGCTGAAATACGATATACACTGATTCCGATTAGCCATACCATATAATTTTAAACCAGCGTCTTATGTCTAGGAGGCATTAATTGGAACTCTGTAATTTTATAATATTGTCCTTTCAAAAAATAAATACATACTAGTGTAAGGGAATCCAAAGAAGTTTATGTGCAACAGTAATGAATTTAGCTTTAAACTTGTAGCTAAAAGAATTTCTAGGTTCATTCAAGTCAGTTCATTCAGGTCACCTTCCCAAACCTGCCTGTTGGGGTAACCGAGAGCAAAGGGTTGGTATTAAGTCTGGAAGCAGCGGAAACTGCTGTTCCTAGCCATCACCATACTCCTGGGGGTGTGGCCAGCCCAGAGATTGGCTGTCCTGCACACCTCCTGAACCCCTTCAGAGGACTTCCCTTTCAGTCATGTGGGGAACTGAGCCTGCACAACCTGCACCATGTCCCCCAGGCAATGCTTAAACACCACAGGAGGCAGGCAGCTTAGCTTGTCTGACTTCACCACCAAATCAAAGTAACCAGTAATTCTTACTTTTACTTCATTTCCTAGTCTTTATCATCCTTCAGTAACCTTTCTTTCAGGTTACTATCCATAGCTTCCCTACGTCCTGGGCTTTCACCCTAGTCCTTAGATTATCCTCCAGAATGGGTTTAACCCAAGCCAAACTGACAACTTTCCCTTCCCTCATTGAAGTTGGACACTCTGTACCACTAGACCAGCTAAGCCAATGTGTGTCGAATCAAGCATGGTATAGTGGCTAGACTGTCAGATTAGGATCTGAGAATTAGAACATTAGAAACCCCCACCCCGCCATAGAAACTCATTGGGTGACCTAGGGTCAGTCACTTTCTCTCAGCCTAATGTACCTGACAGGGTGGTTGTTGTGAGGTTAAAATGACGAACAATGTTGTAAGCTGTTTTGGGTTCCTGTTAGGGAGAAAAACTGCGGTATAACTATCTAAGTAGATAACTAAATAGAAGTTTTACTGCCTTAAACACAGTACCACTTAGATTATACAGTACATTTTTTCATGAATGCTAGGCTGCTAATCAAAGAAAGTGAAACTCTTTTAGAGTTTTCACTGCTTGATTTCCCTCTTTTTGGAACTCAGCAGTGCCTTGTCCTACTGGTTGCAGAAGCTGCTGCGGTGAACAGGAAAAAAGGAAGCCAATCACTACTACACCCATGTAATATGTTAATGGTTTCTTTTAATCATGGCCCTGACTGTTCTGAAAAATCAGATTCCTGTTAATTAAATTGAGAAGTAAAATTCTGATTTAAAGTTACTGTTGCTCATCTTTTCACAAAACAGGGATTTTGTAATGACATCAAAAAACACATTTTCTTCTGATTTCTTGATGCTCCTTGTTGCAGGTCCTATGTATAGCAGTATTAATAAAATAACTATAATACTGCCCTTCACTGGCACTGCTAGTACAAGTGAAGTTTTTAACAGATATTTTGAAGAATGGAAGAATACATAAACATCCTAATCACTTTCAGACTGAAGCAGTGCGATAAAAAAGAAGCAGTTTGAAGTACGTAAAAACCCTGTGTTACTAAAAGGGGGAGCAGGAAAGGATAAGGTCATTTATACCTTAGGGAAGTTTTTTGGAGTTGATAAGGGATTACAGAATTCTGAAAGGAGCCCTAGAAAAGTCACACGAGGTTGCATGGATCTTTCTGTGTTATGTAGTGGGTTGCCGCATGGATAAACGACCGACGACGACGTGGTGCATGGCACGCTTTATTTGGTACACAACAAGAACAAGGAACAAACGGCCGGCAGGCCAACTATATACATACCTGGGGACACACCCCTGGTTACCATTGGTGGGTTTGAATCTCCCGCCATGGTTCCCATTGGTTCCCCAGTGGAGGGACTAGGAGCCTAGTCCCTATTGTTCTTCCAGAGCCAAGCTCTGGCTGTTCGCTGGCCCCTGGTGGTGGTCCGCATACACTACATTCTGTTTCCAT